TTTTCGAGTAGAACCAAAATATGTTTATGTGATATATGTGAAGAAGAGATGGATCCATTCTCATAGTAAAAAAGAGCATAAGATCAATTTCTTTGTAAAAAAAGAAAATATGAACAATAGCTAGGCCGTATTTTATCACTGTCTAGTAATTAAATTTTGAAATTTATTAATTAAGCGGATAAAATCGTTATTGTGACCGATTACACAGTTGCCGATTAAGTCAAGCGATTAAGGTATAATCGCAGCGGGAACACTCCGCCCAGCGCCTATTCGGCCAATTTTTATAACAAAGGTTTTTACTGAGAGAATAAATCCAACCAGTCAGTGTCAGCAACAACCTTATCTAGTTTAATTTGTAGTGTACCACATGCGTAAAGAGCCATCTTGCTTCTTCTGGTTTTTCTGTATGTTAAAACCATGAGAAATCATTACCCTGAAGGCAACGACACTCACTAGGGTTTTAACAAAAAAAAAAAACTTTCAGCCTTGATACAACCTCTATGATATATTAACCATACATATCTTTTAGATAACTATCAATGTATTTCCCACTACTTGATAGTTCTAATTGGTTGTCATCATAGTTAGTATGGTGGTTTCTGATTTCCCACGTACTTTTGCTGACATGGAGCAATTAGATTCATCGTAACTTGAATCTGGAAACTTAGAGTAAGCAAACTAGTTGCATGTCTAGAATTCCCATAGGATCGTAACTACTATTTCCTTTTGATGGAACCTTCTCGTGCCGACTAGGAGACTCTTTTGATCCTCATGTCTTGGTTATATCTTTCCCATGTCTCTTTTTTCTTCTTTTTGATGTTTAAGGAAATTTTTATGAAGAGTCATATTGAGTACTTAAACTACCTTTGAGCTTACTATCAATGACCTTCCCATCATATGAGCCATAATTTTGTACAAAGACTGCCTTTTTCTCCGCAGCTTCTTTTCTTACTAGATAATATATCTTTCCTTGTTATCCTCCCCTAAGTAGCCAGGAGGTGTCCTTCCAAACTCTGTATGTCTCCATTCAGAATCCTTAGCTTTGCTTATTCCCTTGTAATCCCTTTCTTTTGTCTTATTGTTTGTCAATTCTAATGGAGACTAAGCCATTAGGAGTCATGCTTGATTCAGCCACTTTACTTAACCCATCTTCTTAGAACTCATTATTGTGGGTGGCTCTTAATACTCCATCTCCTTTTGCCATATCCTCCTCAAGAGCCTCTGTTCTTCTCTCTTCCTCTACCTCTTCCAGCTCTAGAACCCTTTTTAACCTTAGGCTATGCTACCTTAGCAGTGAAGCAAAACTTGTTCTTGTTTATTGGCACCTATTTAAGGTTTTCATTAAAAGTCCATTTCAGAATTCTCATGACTTAGGCGTTTTACTATTGCCTGCGAAGCTTTGGAAAGATTAAAAGGTTGATACTGATGATAAGTAAGTCTTTTACATTTGAAACATAACTAGTTGAGATTCTTATAGTCTAACTCCACAATTATCACTCCCCCCCCCCCTCCTCCCCCCTTAATCTAGTTGCACATATGAACTCAATTGGATTGTCTACTCAAACCCATATTCTTGCTCTTACATTTTCCAAATAAGTAGAGTTCTTAGTATGAAGCTCAATTACTTCCACTCTCCCTAAAACATATCAAATACTAATAACTGCTTTGTTCTTAAGAAGATGTAAAGGAATCCTCTTTATCCTTAATTAGAATGGGATTTGGATTAAAAATGAGTTGGAGGGTTTAGGTGCCATTTCTCCCTAGTAACAACCCACCATTCACATACCAAAACTTCAACAATATCAGATTCGTGATCAAAGATGAAATGAATGCAGTGCTCACCCACTCCTCTTCCTCTGACCATATCTTTTACATCCCATATATGCAGTGAGACTTCCAGTGCTCCAATTATTCTAAAGACGTATGTGCTCCTGATCCTCAATACAGTGTTAGAGGAGTGCTCTTCAAACAGTTCTCGATTGTCAAAATCTTGAACTTCAATCAGATTTACTTATTTTTTGTTCCTTTAGCTAATTGGTAAGATCATCATTCCTCTTGAAGATTTTATTCATCTTTTTCTACCAGCATTCTTTTAGTCTCATGTCACCTTACTCCTTACTTTCTATTGTAATCTTTAGATAAACTACGAATAATATATTACTATCTACTACAAATATCTGGAAGGATTACTCTCCAAACTTAGCTTCCCATAGATAAAAGAAGGTGTTACTTATTTTTCAATTAGATTTACTTATTTTTTGTTCCTTTAGCTAATTGGTAAGATCATCATTTGTCCTCTTGAAGATTTTATTCATCTTTTTCTACCAGCATTCTTTTAGTCTCATGTCACCTTACTCCTTACTTTCTATTGTAATCTTTAGATAAACTACGAATAATATATTACTATCTACTACAAATATCTGGAAGGATTACTCTCCAAACTTAGCTTCCCATAGATAAAAGAAGGTGTTATGACCTTAGTTCCCTGAAATGACTAAGAACATCAAGCCAAAGTGGAGAAAATCTCGTTTAGAGTGTAGTGTTCAAGCTAAATCTACATAGCGGATACAAAAGACCCTGAAAAAACCAGATACCTCACAAACTCTAAAAACAGAGCAATCAAAGAACCTTATCTTTATTTTGAAATACTCATAGAATCAGAACGTAATTACAATATATTCTACTCACTGTTACACAACATCACTCCCTAGTGATTTTCCCCTAACCGTATTTCCTAAGCTACAAACAGCAACAGTTGAGATCTCTTTTATTCACTCACCTGAGTAAACCCCTTACAAACCCTTTGAGTTCTCTGCTTTTCTTTTTTGCGAGAACTACTTTACAAAAAGTTCTTCTTTTGCTTTAAGTAAAAAGAACTTCAGCTGCAACAATACCAGGACAAACCCTTTTGTCCGCTGAACAGTTGCAGGATCCTTGATGAAGACTTTTGCTTCTTTAGCATGCTCCTTGTCAGAAATCCCATCTACTTCTGA